ATCAATACAAAAAAAAACAAACATATCTTTTGACACCAAGGGCACGTGAATTAACTGTTAAACTTACACCCTCCCTGTTGGCCATTTTACATGCAATTATACACCGGACATCACAACTGAAAAGAATATGTGTCTTTATGTGAAGTCTGACAATATTGTCAAGTTTATGATTCATCTGATTGTATAATGATTTAAATGGAAAAAAAAATATGTGTTTGCTATTTTTGTTTCAGATATTAATGAATTTAAGAGTAGGTTGATTTAAATGATAAAATATAACATGTGCACAGAATTTACAGAAATGGAACAAAATTGAAGTATTTAAATTGCTTTATGTTTGCATCAAATATAGAGACAAAACATCAAAACACTTGGCAATCTGATTAATACTCGGGGGCTCCCCCTTGTACAAATCAGATGGCCTGACGGATATAAATGACAGACTAGTCAAGAATGGTGATTTATAGTCATAACAATCTTAATACTTAGCAAATATAATTAACATATTCACACATATATTCAGTATCGGTTATCTTAATACTTACAAGACAATATTTACATATATTTACATGTAATCCTGTACCGGTTATCTCAGTCGGTAGAGCCCCGGAACGGTACTTCGAGGGTCTGGAGTTCGAGTGCCAGTCAAGCTCCACCTTTTTTCTTACCATGTGACATTGTGCGCCTAACGGGGCACCGCGAATGCACATAACATATAACAGTTACTCTGTGAGTTTCAAACAAGCAGGGGAGTATGTCACGGTTCAGAACTTTTCAATATTTAGGGGAGAAGATGTGTAAGCGGTCAAATAGCTCATTCGAAACAGTATTCTGAGGGTCCCGGGTTCGAGTTCGGCCAGGTTGCACATTTTCTTCACCCTATGACATATGTTGATACACAAATTTAAAACTTGAACGTCCCTTCACATCATCTGCAGATTTCGTAATTTAGAAAACTTTATCAGAATAAGAATATTTGGACTTTCTGTGGAAATTCAGTCCAATGTCACAAGTCATTTTACAATAAATATATAATTTATCATGTTCTTGACTCGATTAAAAAAAAGAAACGTTCCACAATTTTCAATTTTTGAGACTGAAAATTACTGAAACAAAAACTGTTTCGAATACATGTATATTTGGGAAAACATATTGATTTCAACCAGGTTACACATGTTGAATTTACATAGTATTTCCCTGTCCAACAAACTGTTCAAATCATCGAATTATGCAGAAACACGACTGATGGGAAATGATATTTTCCACGAAATACTTTTTCGAATAATAAGACATATATCGACAATAAATGTACATACAATGCAGTAACATCAACTTACCTTTCAAGTTTTGAGAGACAGAATTGGACCTGGTGACAGGGTACTTAAGACAGAACTGACTTGCGTCTTGTTTTAAATGACGAATTCAACCAGAAAAAAAATAACAACAAAACGCCGCTGCAAATAGAGAAAATAACAATCCATAAAGAAAGCCCAACACGGCATAATTGAAAATGTTGCAGGCTCGGTTTGATTGAGCCTGTTAATCGACGGTACTGTTAAGTACAAACTACCGTCCACGCCCCCAGCACCGGTTTAAGCAGAATTAAACATTTACTATGAACTGGTAAAATTTTGAATTCTGAAACATCCACAGATGTATTCATATGGCGGTTATCATAGCACCTTCAATATGGCAAGTAAGTGCAATTCCATGAAAAGCGGCATATGGTCCCTAAGTAAAAAATGCGTGTGTCCTAAACAAGAAAACAATTGACGGAACTAAATAAATGGAATTTTGAAAGCGGATTAGAGGTTTTGAAGCCTGCATATCACAGATAAGACATCAAGAGACAAATTTAACAAGAGGGTAATGATGGCCCCGAGTTGCTTACCAGAAATAACTGCTTTTCAGTGTTGGAATGTCAATGTAGTCTAATATCAAATTTGAGCATGGAATATGTTTAAACAATGATTTGAAGAAATGCCAGGATCTGGGGCATTTAAGCTTTAGCTTAAACGGGGCTAATCAATTAATATGGGAAAACTTAATAAATTACAACCTAAGAATGCTACAAAGTTTGGTGATCATCTATCAATTATTTCAGTAGGAAATGATGTTTGAAGGTGTTTTTTTTTTTCTATTTTTAGCTTTAGTGGCCCCCAGAAGAGGCTAATCTAATTAATATAAGCAAACTTAACAAAAGAGTACTCAAGAATGCTACAGACAAAAGTTTGGTGATCATCCATCAATTAGTTCTGTAGACATAGAGTGACGTTTTAAGGTTTTTTTTCTTCTATTTTTAGCCCCAGAGACCCCTAAAAGGGTCAAATCAAATTAATATGAGCAAACTTGATAAAGAAACTACTCATGAATGCTACAGACAAAGTTTGATGATCATTCATCTTTTAGTTCTGTAATAGAAGATGTTTAAAGATTTTTTTTCTATTTTTAGCTCTGCTGACCCCTAAAAGGGGCCAATTGGAATGACATGAGCAAATTCTAGTGTGACTGTCACAAGGATGCTACAGATCAAATTTGGTAAATCTGCTTAATAGTTTCAGGGAAAAAGACGACTGTTGACGCATGACGACGGACGACGGACGCCGGAGCATGCCCCTTTGATACTAATAGCTTACCCTGAGCCTTCGGCTCTAGTGAGCTAAAAAGCAGGCCACATATCCTTAGGGTGATTCAACAGTATTAAAGTTAGGAATACTGGAACCACCCAACAAGAGAATAGCCGAATAGAAAGAACTAAATCACCACAAGCACAACAATAATGTCGTGTTGAACGACCTTTAAGGATGAAAATTACAAAACATGGGAAATAATACGACGGTTTTATTTTTCATATTTATGTTTAGAGTCTGAGATGAAAAGAAGCAAGTTAACCATACAGTTCTTGACGTCCGGATTTCAATTTGTAAAGTCTTTAATAACATAAAACGTTTCACATAGAGATCCAGTTATGAGCATGGATTATAATTATAAGAAATCAACTAAAAATTCCGCAAACTTATGTAATCGTAAACAAACCAACACTCGTTATACGCTGCTGCGTTTATGATCAATATCAGGCCTTAAAGACGTTGTCCGCAGTTTTCATATACATGTAGACATATAGGCAAAATTAAAACTGTTCAATAGACTTTCTTTAGTTAAAGTCCTGAATCAGTATTGGTATCTATCATCGCAATACCGCACGTGGCTGTTACATAATAGTATGTCATACATGAGACAGCTCGACAAGAAACAAGATTTGGGAATTCGGAACATCATAAGATCTTTGTTCCAAACTGAGGCAATTAATGTGTACAAAAAACAAACCTTTATGTGTCCTGAAACAAATGATAAAAATAATAATTGAATAAATATATATAAAAAAGTAAATAACATTTTGTAAATAAATAAATACTTGAATGCATGAATGAATGAATAAATAAATACATAAATAAATAAATAAATACATAAATAAATAAAAATAAGTAAGTGAATGAATGAGTGAATGAATGAATGAATAAATAAATGCATGAATGAATGAACGAACGAACGAACAAACGAATGATCGAATGAATGAATGATTGAATGAATGAATGATCGAATGAATGAATGAATGAATGAAATATCCTTTTGTTTTGCATATGCAGGTATTATTTTTTTATAAAAAAAAATATATAAACATGACATTTAAATATTGTGTGGACATTTTGATATCTATAACATAATTTCTTTAATCCACGGATCACGAAATATACAATAAATAATAAATATACCAGTACGGACATTTTTGAAAGAAATTTCAAATTCACTATTTCTATCTAATCGTCAATTTGCTGTACAAGCAAATTTATTATGGATTCACTCTGAACAATAGAATGACTACTAGAGACACGAAGTATGCTAATCTGCGGGTGTAAAACAGATCGAATACGGTTAAAAAGCAAACAAAGTGCTATGTGCCACAATACCGCTTTGCGTTGTATACATAAACTTTTTTTTTCTTTTTGTGTGCATGCTACAGACATTGTGGATGTATGGATGGTTTGCTTGTTCTGTGCACTGACCATATTATCAGTATGCAATTGACGTGAACTATTACATTGAGTTAAAGCTTTCTCATTTTAAGTTATGATTTTATATGTATGACAGATGTTACATCAGACTACTTTTCCCTCTTTTAGGAAATATGCAATTCGGAAGTAAATCTTCAATTGCTATTTCTATATACATAACCTGTATTTGCAAGAAAACGGAATTTCGTATTTTAGTAATATACAGACTTCGTATATAAAAGTCGCCGCATATTACGAGTGTACAGATTTCCGTATACTAGTCATATACGGACCGATATAATATACGGTCCCGTACATCTCCGTATTTCAAAATACCCGTATAATTACCCGTATATTAATGATATACGGAAATCCGTACACTTCCGTATATCTATGTATTTTTCGCAGTGTTAAAATAGTAAACAGAAACTTTTTTTCAGAGGTGTTGCCGCAATCATAATCTCTTTTCTTCCTTATTTTTTTCAACAAACACAAATCTGATATGATAAAGTTTGTTAAGTTGTAATCGATGATGAAAACCAAAAAAAAATATATAGGTTAAATCGGTCATTGTGTTATGTTGTTAAACGGCGCTTTTCAAAATTATTTGGTTAAGTTGTGTGATTATCTTACCTTTTAAAATAAGGATTTGTAATGTCAGAATAAAAAGATAAAGATGTATGCATTGTATTTTACCTTAAAAGGGAATTTAAAAATTCAGTCTGGACAGAATAATGAGTTTACAATGAACAATAAATATAAAATCCTGTAAACGTTTTCCCTAGTATTATGTCTGATCAAACTCATTAATGAGATCTACCCGCTATTATGATCAGATTTACATAGTAATTTCAGTGGTCTCATTAGCTAGTTTTTACTTTGTATATCCTTTTGTCGCATTATAAGCGCATACATATTCGCATAAGTGTACATTTATTCAATTTTCAGCTTGGAAGAAGTTCGTGCAAATTCAAGCGCCTCGTTGGAAAGATATGACTGTTTTTTGGCTGAAAAAGTTTAAATATCCAGTACATATTTTAGTATATGAAGAAATGACAAGAAATCGTATGGACGAAGCTTTGAAACTTAGTTCATTTTTACATGTGAATTCTACATTAAACATGTTGACTTGTACTTACAGTCAGTATGTGGAAGAAAAAAAGAGAAGCTATCCTCATTCTTTAACAAGGAAAACATTATATGACATATATGACATGAACCAGATAGCAGATATAAACAAAGCTATTTTACAAACACTTGAAATAACACAGCTTAATGTCTTACATGACTACATCTTACCATAAAATAATAAAAGTTTAGACTTACATGTGAATATAAGTGTTATGTCCTGAAATGTATTATTTTCAATGATGAATGCACTTGTGCCAACAATCTTATAGTTTGAACCAATAGCCCAATTATTAAACGTTCTCACAATAAATCAGTGCTAACCTTATGTTATAATTATTATGTACAAGAAAAAAAAAACGAAAAAAAAAACAACATTTTATAATCGAAACTTTATGTAACTGTTAACCACCATGAGAAGCCGTCTCACGCGCATGAACAAGGCCTCTAGGTCAAAGGTCAATGTCACACTTAGAGGACAAAGTAACACTCTTGTCCGGAGCAAAACATTTTTATGTATAACGATAATTCAGTTTTACTTGACACAAATGTCAACTATTGTGAGGAGGAGTTTCACGTACGTACACAATTTAGGTCCCTGCGGCCAAGGTCAATGTCGCACATAGGAGTCAAAATTCAGATAAAAAATCACAAGAAATGATAATATATAGAGAGTATTTGTTTGTTTGTGTGTAAGATGAAATTTGATGTCATCAAGTGGGCTTTAAAAACGGTAGTCTCACATAAGGGCCTTTATTAGTCCAATTTCATGTAAAAAACAAGAAGTATTTGGCTGATAAATAAGTTCGACAATCAACGTTAAATGGCGGTAATATTATTCATTTTATTAAGATAAAAATAGTAATTATCTCTTGTTTTAATAATGAAAACAAACCATTTTAGTAGATGAAAAAGGCACACCATCCGACCTAATTTTCGTTACTTACTGCGAACTTATATTCGACCTGGCCTTAATAAATGTAATCGGACGCCATTTTTAAAAGTTGTGTGTTTCACGGGAGGAAAATAATTGTGTTTGATTCAGGGGAATATCATTGTGATGTGTAAGTCATATATCTTTTAAGAAGAAAGAAAACTTATTTGAGGATTGTTGCAGGCAACAAAAAAGTGTTTACAGATGTGGTAACATTCAAAAAGCGGGTAGGAAATTGGAAAACTGAAAATTGTTGAAAAGCTGACTTACGAACGCTGGTTTGTTTAAATAGCTGCCGGTTTCTTTTTGCCGCGCCAGTTTTTTTGGCAAATTCAACCCCTATTTTTACGCGCTTTAAAAAAATGAAAACTATCTAAAATTGTCATATTTACTAAAAAGTTGAAAAGTTAATATGTTTTGTTTTTTCTATCTTTAATACTTTTTTTGTAAAAATGCATTTAAAGTTTGCATTTGCCATGACAAAGTGTTTTGCCATGGCATTTCGGCAATTTGCCATGGCAAATTAAAATTGCCATGGCAAGATTTTTTCTACATTTGCCATGGCAATTATTTTTTTTAAACATCACAAAAAAATCTTAAACTTATCCTATGACATTTTCTTGGTGCTATTGTTATGTTTTTATTGCAATCTCTAATTTGTTTTTATTTTGTCATGTCTTTTTTTCTTTGAAATGTTTTTATTAGTTTATTCATGGCAGAAGACATATTAAGGAATATAACTTTTTTAAATTTTAAAGTTTACGCAATGAATATCTTTTCAACCACGGGTCGTATTAATTCAAATATATGACATCCTAAAATGACAATAATTAAGGATCAAATATAAGAGCCAATATCAGATTTCGCCTGTAATCTTGTCCTTTTCAATTTTTCACAAAATGCATGATCATTTTATAAAAAATAAATTTGCATGCTTGTAAGTACATAAAATATTGTTAACTAAGACATTTACAGGATAAGATATTCAACATATTTTTTTCAGGTAGTGTCATAAACCTAAATTAAAACTGATTATCCTCGTCCTTAAGTCAAAATCCCAATTTCAGCTGTTTATCCTGTAAATTTGTATTACTAAATACATATTTTTTGTTAACTTACGCAAAATATAACCTTTTATATAATGTATTTATACAGTAAAGCCTCAGTTAAGTATTTCAATTTGCAAAAAATGCAAGTTATAATTTTGTCCCCAACTTTTTTGACAAAAATGTCCTTCAAGTAACAGTACTATAAGTAGAATTATTTTAGTTTAAGTAAATTGTTGCAGCGTGTTTCTTCAAAAGAAGGTGATAGGTATAATACATGGCTACAGCAACAAACATAGGACATTTTAAGTAGGATTTAGAAAATTGAAAGACATTGATTAAATGTTGGAACCATGATTCAAACAGTGTCCTTTAAGTAACGAGATTCTTATTATGTTACTTATGAGAAAGATTCCTTTTGTATTGCTGCTTATTACGCACAATATGTTCAGATGAAATTAAATGATCAATAAAATTGTCCCCTTAATCCTAATTTTTGTGTTAAACAGGCCCTGTAAAATAACCTGAATAAGTTCCTTGCAGTAAACTGTCCTTACAATAAATGTTACTGCAAGTATACAAAATCTGTTACTGAAAGTACAAAATTACAACACAATTCTTTCTTTTAACATATAATTAAATGGATAAAGATTTACGAATAAACATTTTTCATGTTGGCATAATTACGATTTGTTATTAATATATTATTGCTATAATTAGACATTTATTGCCATTTAAAAACTTCCTGCTTTATTTATTTTGTTATTCGAAGGACAAACCTGTGATTATTGAAAGGATTTTTTAATTCAAATCAATGTACTGTAACTAACATATCACATTCAAACTTGGAGAAAGTTTCTTTTTTGTTTCAGTATTATTTATATTCAACTTTTGGGTTATTTTTTGCTTTTAACAGTAATCTTTTGTAAAAAAATGGGAAAATCTGATAATTTGCACCCCTTTAGAATCCTCAAATTAAGTTAATGTTTAAGGACAAATATACATTCTTGTTTAAAATTGAAATGCATGTCATTTCACAAAAATATTGAAGCGATTTTAGAAAAAAAAGTAATAAGGCAGTTACCATAGTATATTGAAGGAAAGTTTCAAGTACTTTCTTCTACCAGAGACTTTTTTTTTGCATGAATTACAGTTTACTTTGAAAATAGAAATCAAAACTAATTATATCATCAAAAGCAAGCCTTTAAAGGGCATTTTTAACACTTCAAAAAAATTTCTAAAATTTGTCATTAAAAAGTAGTCCTGTAAAACTTAGAAACGACTCGTTTGTTTACTTTCCGAGTCATATTTTGGGCCTCATGTAAAATTCCTGGGCTATTATCGTAACTTTGTGAACAACAGTTAGTTTTTATTTGTTTTGTTTGGCTTGCATAAAAATGCTGCAACCAAAACATTAAGGTCAGTTGGCAAATTTCAAAGCTTGAATGGTTTTTGAATAAAGACACCAGGTTATTTCAACGGCCACAGAAAGGGCAACTGCAATTTGTAAGCCCTTTAATGAATGACTTTTTCACAAGAAAGAAATCTCTGGAAAATTTATTAACAGTCCATTAAGTGAGGATTTAAAATTATGCTAATTCTAAAAAGGCAAAAATTTTTGCATTTAATTTTTTTAATTATTAACTTAGAAATCCTGATTGTTAAAAATATAGCATGTAATAAAATCTTCAAAACTTCTAATGGTTATTCTCTGTGAACTGTGTTTATAAAAATTGAATTTGGATGAGTTTTAGACTGAATTATGCGAAACTCACAAATTTTTGGGCTTTGGTTACATTAAGACTTTAAACCCTTTTCCACCCATTTAAATTTTTTGGTCATTTCAGTAACAAATTTGTCCGTCCTGTAACTTTTAAAAGAGAGCTTTCGCCTTACTTTTTGCTATTCAATTCCAAAAAGCATTCTATTTTTTTTTTTTTAACAGAGAAAAAATAAAATTTTTTCCAAAAAAGCCCCTTTTTAATTTTTTCATTTTCCTTTAGTTGTAAACATTTAATTGTTAGTTCAATGATTACAAAATAAACTGTAAATTTTACATTATAAGTCCTTTCAGTTCATTAATTTAGTCCTTGACAGTAAAAGCATGTCCTTGGGTGTAACAAATATTGCTTTTAAGTTCTGCAAATTGGCAAATAGTAAAAGTTATTTTTTTTGGCAATTCAAGATTGAAAATACTTACTCTGTTCATAAAAATAGAACAAGAAAAAAAAGATATCTTTTGTGGTGCGAAACATACTGACATTGTTTTTAGCTCAAATTTCCTGTTTTTGTTTTTTAAGTTGGAAGGATCGAAAAAAATTTTTTGTAAGAGGAAAAAAAATAATCTATAAAAAATACCCATTTCAAGACTTAAACTGAAATTTATATAAAGTTTGGGTTGTTTGTTTTTCTTTGTTGTTTAGGAATATTATTATTTTTATTAAAAAATTTAGAAAACGTTAAAAATCGTTCTAGCAAAGACAAACAATTGGTCAAATGAATTGCCTTTTGACAAATCATAAACATATAAAATGGACCGAGTTTATTGTTGCTCTTTGTAAAATAAGCTTTCAATTCATTATTATTACTAAATGAGATAAACTTTTGCATAAATAAGGTTTTTAATTTGAAAAAAATTTAAAAACCCTAATTTTTGGCGAAAAATTTTATATTAGCTAAAAATCTTTTTTAAAAAATAATAAATCTTGGAAATGGTAGTTTATTTTAACAAAGAAATAAAAAGAATTCCCCGAGAAAGCTCAGCACGGCAAATTTAAAAAGTTGCAAAGGTCGGTTTGAAATTTACCTGTTTCATTGGGGCGGGGATTGGGAAGTGCAAGTTAAAGTCCACGTCGCCTTTGGACCGGTTTAAACAGTAATTTTAAAATTTTAACATGAACTGGTAAAATTTTAGAATTTTTAAACATCCCCATTTTTGGTTTTATATTGGGTAAATTTTTGAAAAATTAATTTTGACACGTTAGTACGATTTTTGAAAAAGGGGGCATATTACAATAAAACTTTTAATAACATAAATAAATACTTTACCATGTTAACTATATCTATCTTTTAAACAGCGATAATTATGTATAAATATGTGCAAATTAACATTTTTAGTTTCCGGTTTTTTAGTATAAATGCAGTCTGCGTGATAAAGGACTGCTAAGGAAAGAAACTTACAAATCCTCACAAGGAAATGATGGG